GGACCGAGGCAGTAAAATGTGTTGACGGTTTCCCATACTATATCGACAGTTGAATCAATGAGATATCAAGCGAAATGAATTTGTAATAGTTAATTATACTGGAGGAAATCCATCCTCAAACAACGACTAGTACAAACCAATCACATTAATCATCGGCGTCAGCACTTGGAATCAGACCAGCCACACGATGATGCAAGCACGTACGAAACATAACCCACAGATTATCCATCGCCCTGAAATGTACTTTAAAATAGTGTAAAAAAAGACATACATTCGAAACACCTCACCAACATAAATATATATATATATATAAATTAATCCAACCAATCGTCAATATATTGTTGCATATTCCCACGAACAAAAGCGATGTCATCATGACAAAGTGGTGTAAACAAAAGGAAATAAATTCCAAACAATTTCCAACACCACAACAAATAAGTGGTTCTAAACAACAATTCCCACGACGAAAAGGGATATATATATATCGTCACACTGTATACTATATAGGGTGTAATCGAATCGCGCCGACCAAACCGATCCACAATCGATCTGATTGGTTGAATTTCATTGAGAAGTTTTGATTGGTTAATAATTTTGAGCTCATCTGAGGTAGCCAATCAAATCGATTTAAATTCCCAATTTCACTAGAAAGCACAATACATCCGTGAAAAAACAACCAAACAGACAGAAAGATGCATCCTAGACATCAACGATATGATTATCATCCTATGGAGCGCGTACATACATTCCGGTGGTTCGTTGTCCGAATCATTTTGCAGCAATAAAGTCCGCTCTTTGCCCCGCGGTGTCACATCTAGGTCGGACAATTCGCCGTCTTCGATGATCGACAGCCGGTTGTTGGCTCGTCTGCTGTTTTCGTACGCGAGGTCGTCATTGAAGAAAAAGAGTACCGCAAGACCAGGAATAGCCACAATCATGCCGCCGCACAAGACGATTTGAAGGCCGGAAAGGGACCACGAATCGCCGTAGATGTAGAAGAACACGATGCTAGCGACGGGACCAAGGGTGCCGGCGACGTTCATCAAAATGTACTTGGTAGTCATTGGGCCTTCGCGCTGGCCGTTGGGAATGGAGTCGGCGAAGAGGGCTTCGGTCGCGGGGCGCTGGATGGCAAAGTACCCGCCCCAGCACGCATACGCTACGTATAGCAGCAGCATGTGGCCCTGCACAAGAGTCGTTAGATCCACACATCTCCACATGGTATATATATATATACGAGTGGCCGTGATGAGTAAGTGGCAAGAGTAGCTAGTAGTAGTCGCGATGGATTTGACTATATCAAGAGATTTGATGGGAATGACACACCCTACCGATATATATGCCGATAGACTCATGGCGGCACAAATCAAACCCAACACACCGGCAAACTTGAGCACCGTGTCGCGGCGGAACCGATCTGACGCGTAGCCCGCTGGAAACGTCACAAGCATGCGCACGAGGCCGTTGATGCCCGTGACCATGCCCACGGGCTCGTTCGATCCCGTCAAGACGTAGATGTAGCCAGCCAGCACTTGGTCCAAGATGATACTGCGCGACGACCAGAAGAATGCCGAGTACAAGTACGTTAAGCGCACGTTGTGCTCGAGCGCATTGTACTGCTTGACGAGGTGACCCAGCATACTAGTATGTCGATTGTGTTGTCTGTGTATTGAACGGCCAAACAAGATGTGGATGCCGCTGCGGATGTCAACGAAGAACATCATCGATGGATTGGACGCAGCTCAGTTCCGACCTTGGATTCGTTTGTTTCAACCACCAAGGTAGCATACAGAAAAACCGAAAATATATGCTTATTATAACATGTTTAAATGTATGTTGCTTTAAAAAGTATGTAAACTGTATCATATATTGGAGTTTAAACATTCGACGACGTTGACCATGTCCAAAACATGCACTTTCATCACACAAGGCCACGTCACAAGTGCAATGTGTCAATGTGTCTCAATGATAGCGATGTGCATCATTCATCAGTACTGTACATTGCGCTGGACTTTCCGTCCTATTATTTCTGCATTAACGTGTTCCTCCATCAACGTTATATGCACCAGTGTTAGGCTTGAGCTACTATCATACTATTAATAGTATTGTGCTTTTCACCCAATTTTGGACTTGTCGAATCAAACGTTTGGATTGGCAGAAATTCCTCAGGACGTGATTTGATTGGCTTAGGCGGACACATTCAAATCTGCTGACTGTGACGGCTTCAGTGCCAAATCAAGATTTGCATTCTTTTGAGAATACAAAGCTTGTGCCGTTGCCAAGTGTCAGCTTATGTTTTGTGTGTACGTTGTTGGGCAAGGATATGAGAGGTTTCGAATGATGTAGCCTTGGCTTTCATTTCTGGTTGTACCTCGAACTAACCTCTACATACCTTTGTATGTGTGCTCTACCCCCTGCCCCCCAGTCTATCCAACAACGAGAAGACTCAAAATACCAGATAAAATTCAATGAGTTTGCCATTGAACTGAATGCATGTCCAGGTAACGTTATTGTCCTTTTACCCCAATTTGGACTTTGGTGCTGATTCGCCGCCAAATCTATTGAACGAAAGCAATAGATTGCATGTCTTTCAACGAGATTGCATCGTGACGCTACTCACCACGGTACATAAATCAACCCGCAAGCTGGAGGTTGACTTGCATGGCACAAAGTAACGACATGATGGATGAATGGCAGTTTCATAGTTTGAAATGGACCAATGGCCTTGGAGCATTCATTTCGTTCGAAGTCGTTTGCAAAATGTTGGCGCACACTCTCTTCCATCGCAGCCTTCATGCAACAGCAGCAGCAGACAGGGTCGACGGAACACAGCTTCCTCGTCGCAATTGACGTGATGTTCGTCGTAGCCGCCACGTATTGGCTGGTTTGTATCCGACCCATGCCCAAAACATATCTGTCCGAGATCATTTTCCCCCTTCAGGTATATACTATTCACAACTCTTTTTGTGTGATTCATATTTTCTATCGTGTGACACCTTATTTCGAGCGCAGTTTTACCTCCGAGGGGTGGCCTCCCTATGGCTGACCCTCGTCACGGCGCTCGTGTGTGTGTACACACTTGGTTGGGGGGGGTGTCCTGACCTTGACGAACGACCTGTCGCCCTTCTAACAACGGACACCGCGGCATGGGTAGGTCCAACACGGCATGTCCTGAACAGTGCGCTCTCACTTTGGGGAATTTGCACCAGGGAGTGTCCACGCTACTCATTTGGATGGAACATCGGCGAGGTCTGCGAACGTCCCCGCTCCTCCTGGGGTTTTGGCTCCTTCGGTGGTCCCTTCTAACCAAATCGTTGTGGATGCGAGTGGTACGATTATCCAGTGTTGTGCACTTACTTGTGTGCTTCGGTCGGTGATGATGACGGTGTGTGTGCACCTCGTACGTAGACCCCACAAGTCGTCGGTAGCGATTCCCCTCCTTTCGTTGTGGTGCTGCACATGGGGTGCCTGTTTTTGTGCCAGTCGGTACTGGCGTCAGCAGGGATATGGCCAACGCGGCAACTCACGTCGTCGTCGCCTGAAGTTCTCGCCTTGGCTCGAGCTCACATCATATCGTTCAGTGGCAAGTCACTTGTCCACCGCTCAACTGCCCTCCATTCAGGTTTTAGTTTACACCAGCAGCAACATCCCACCCCCACAAGTTATGGTTCGATTGGCCAAGCCAAAACCTTGAGCTGTGCTACTACCCCCCAGCACGATGTCACGTTGCCCTGCCACCCAACGTTGAAGATTTGCATTCCAAGCTGGACAGTGTCACGGAGGTCCGAGTCTTCGTATGTGTCGTACAAGGTATACACACGTTTCGTTGATTGTTCACGTCATAAACAAGCACTAGATTCTCATCATGTCGGGGCACGACGAGACTTGGAGTGTGCGCCGTCGGTACAGCGACTTTGCCCATTTGCGCCGTGGGGTACTGTATTTTGTTGCACCGACTTTCATATCCGAGTATTACATTCATGTACAACAACTCGTGCGATTGCGTAGCTCCCGTCATGGATGACAGACCATGTGCCCTTTCCAGACAAATCGCACTTGCAGCGCTTTGCACCTCAGGTCATTGACACCCGCCGCGCGCTGTTGGAATCGTTTTTGAACGTACTTTAAACTGGATGGTGGCCATACATTATTGACGGCAACCGTGTAGTCGGTCGTGGCGCACCCTGATTTCGACGCCCGGGCGTCGCTCGCGTTGTGTGATTTCCTCGATTTGGTACGCCTTGTCATGACAAGGACAGCACTGTCGCCTTACCACGACTGAATGCTTTAGGAATACATTGCCAACCCCAACGACTATCTCGTGTAATCCAAACCCGAAATGTCAACCTTGAGACAGATTTATCAAAGTTAGTATTATCCACAAACATAAGGATGCTTTTACTGTATAAAGTAAATAGAATGAAAAGAATACCAGTAGCGTTACACTGAAATTCTTGCATAAATCCAAGAGTAACGTTAGGTAAAATAATAAAACAAAATAATAAGGCTGGCTTTCTACTACGCGCTCTTTCTTGTGGGTGGGTGAGAGTCGCGGACCTGATCGGCGCTTGATGTACTTGGCGAATTTCGACATTTTAAGCACATTAAGAACTGTTGTTTGTGTTACTTTACCACTGAGTACTGCAGCTATTTGCCTTGACGACATGCCCTTCAGTGTAGCGAGACGCAAAACTCGTCGAATCTCTCGATTGGTCAGTGTGGTGCGTCTTCCTGGGCGTTTGGGTGCAGCAGGTCGCTTCAAACTTGCAACGTACGTCCGCACGAGTTTGTCACTGCGTCCAATGGCCCTTGCAATCCAACGCAACCATTTATTGACATCCAAATAGGCTTTAACTTGGCCTTTCTCGACATCGGTGATGTTTTCGCGGCATGGTGAAATGGTTTTACTGTTGCTGATGATATGGGTGTGTATCTGCACCGGTGCCAGCAGGCGCTGGAGCCGGGGACGGTCGTGAGGTCAGCGTTAAGGACGCGAGGCAGCGACGTGATGGGGCACCTAGGCCAATGCTAATCAACGGAAAAGATGAAGGACCGGGACATGGACTTGTAGGCCGCTGGGGTCTCCTTGGCCACATCTTATGGGGTT